ACCGCACTTTTTCGAGAAAATCGGAAAAACGTTATAAACAAATTAGGCTGCTGAGCTGCTGAAGAAATACCGAAAACTAAATCGATCAAAGAACACGCCACTGGGGGATTATTTTTAGTCTATTGGGACTCTATAAGCCCTGAAATTTTGATCTTGTTAGTATGATGCAGTTTCTAGAAAATCGGAAAAACGGTATAAACAAATTAGCTGCTAACGAAAATACCGAAAACTAAATCGATCAAGAACACGCCACTAGGGGATTATTATTAGTCTAGTGGGACTCTATAATCCCTGAAATTTTGATCTTGTTAGTATACGCCGTTTTCGAGAAAATCGGAAAAACGGTATAAACAAATTAGCTGCTAACGAAATTACCGAAAACTAAATCGATCAAGAACACGCCACTGGGTGATTATTATTAGTCTCTATTGGGACTCTATAATCCCTGAAATTTTGATCTTGTTAGTATTAAGCCGTTTTTGAGAAAATCGGAAAAACGGTATAAACAAATTAGCTGCTAACGAAATTACCGAAAACTAAATCGATCAAGAACACGCCACTGGGTGATTATTATTAGTCTATTGGGACTCTATAATCCCTGAAATTTTGATCTTGTTAGTATAAGCCGTTTTTGAGAAACGAAATTACCGAAAACTAAATCGATCAAGAACACGCCACTGGGTGATTATTATTAGTCTATTGGGACTCTATAATCCCTGAAATTTTGATCTTGTTAGTATAAGCCGTTTTTGAGAAAATCGGAAAAACGGTATAAACAAATTAGCTGCTAACGAAAATACCGAAAACTAAATCGATCAAGAACACGCCACTGGGGGATTATTATTAGTCTATTGGGACTCTATAATCCCTGAAATTTTGATCTTGTTAGTATACGCAGTTTTCGAGAAAATCGGAAAAACGGTATAAACAAATTAGCTGCTGACGGAAATACCGAAAACTAAATCGATCAAGAACACGCCACTGGGGGATTATTATTAGTCTAGTGGACCCCTATAATCCCTGAAATTTTGATCTTGTTAGTATACGCAGTTTACGAGAAAATCGGAAAAACGTTATAAACAAATTGGCTGCTGACGAAAATACCGAAAACTAAATCGATCAAGAACACGCCACTGGGGGATTATTATTAGTCTAGTGGACCCCTATAATCCCTGAAATTTTGATCTTGTTAGTATACGCAGTTTTCGAGAAAATCGGAAAAACGTTATAAACAAATTGGCTGCTGACGAAAATACCGAAAACTAAATCGATCAAGAACACGCCACTGGGTGATTATTATTAGTCTAGTGGACCCCTATAATCCCTGAAATTTTGATCTTGTTAGTATACGCACTTTTCGAGAAAATCGGAAAAACGTTATAAACAAATTGGCTGCTGACGAAAATACCGAAAACTAAATCGATCAAGAACACGCCACTGGGTGATTATTATTAGTCTAGTGGACCCCTATAATCCCTGAAATTTTGATCTTGTTAGTATACGCACTTTTCGAGAAAATCGGAAAAACGGTATAAACAAATTAGCTGCTGACGAAAATACCGAAAACTAAATCGATCAAGAACACGCCACTGGGTGATTATTATTAGTCTAGTGGGACTCTATAATCCCTGAAATTTTGATCTTGTTAGTATACGCAGTTTTCTAGAAAATCGGAAAAACGGTATAAACAAATTAGCTGCTAACGAAAATACCGAAAACTAAATCGATCAAGAACACGCCACTAGGGGATTATTATTAGTCTAGTGGGACTCTATAATCCCTGAAATTTTGATCTTGTTAGTATACGCCGTTTTCGAGAAAATCGGAAAAACGGTATAAACAAATTAGCTGCTAACGAAATTACCGAAAACTAAATCGATCAAGAACACGCCACTGGGTGATTATTATTAGTCTATTGGGACTCTATAATCCCTGAAATTTTGATCTTGTTAGTATAAGCCGTTTTTGAGAAAATCGGAAAAACGGTATAAACAAATTAGCTGCTAACGAAAATACCGAAAACTAAATCGATCAAGAACACGCCACTGGGGGATTATTATTAGTCTATTGGGACTCTATAATCCCTGAAATTTTGATCTTGTTAGTATACGCAGTTTTCGAGAAAATCGGAAAAACGGTATAAACAAATTAGCTGCTGACGGAAATACCGAAAACTAAATCGATCAAGAACACGCCACTGGGGGATTATTATTAGTCTAGTGGACCCCTATAATCCCTGAAATTTTGATCTTGTTAGTATACGCAGTTTACGAGAAAATCGGAAAAACGTTATAAACAAATTGGCTGCTGACGAAAATACCGAAAACTAAATCGATCAAGAACACGCCACTGGGGGATTATTATTAGTCTAGTGGGACTCTATAATCCCTGAAATTTTGATCTTGTTAGTATACGCAGTTTTCAAGAAAATCGGAAAAACGTTATAAACAAATTGGCTGCTGACGAAAATACCGAAAACTAAATCGATCAAGAACACGCCACTGGGGGATTATTATTAGTCTAGTGGGACTCTATAATCCCTGAAATTTTGATCTTGTTAGTATACGCCGTTTTCGAGAAAATCGGAAAAACGGTATAAACAAATTAGCTGCTGACGAAAATACCGAAAACTAAATCGATCAAGAACACGCCACTGGATGATTATTATTAGTCTAGTGGACCCCTATAATCCCTGAAATTTTGATCTTGTTAGTATACGCCGTTTTCGAGAATATCGGAAAAACGGTATAAACAAATTAGCTGCTGACGAAAATACCGAAAACTAAATCGATCAAGAACACGCCACTGGATGATTATTATTAGTCTAGTGGACCCCTATAACCCTTAAATTTTGATCTTGTTAGTATACGCACTTTTCGAGAAAATCGGAAAAACGGTATAAACAAATTAGCTGCTGACGAAAATACCGAAAACTAAATCGATCAAGAACACGCCACTGGGGGATTATTATTAGTCTAGTGGGACTCTATAATCCCTGAAATTTTGATCTTGTTAGTATACGCAGTTTTCGAGAAAATCGGAAAAACGTTATAAACAAATTAGCTGCTGACGAAAATACCGAAAACTAAATCGATCAAGAACACGCCACTGGGGGATTATTATTAGTCTAGTGGACCCCTATAATCCCTGAAATTTTGATCTTGTTAATATACGTAGTTTTCGAGAAAATCGGAAAAACGGTATAAACAAATTAGCTGCTGACGAAAATACCGAAAACTAAATCGATCAAGAACACGCCACTGGGGGATTATTATTAGTCTAGTGGGCCTCTATAATCCCTGAAATTTTGATCTTGTTAGTATACGCAGTTTTCGAGAAAATCGGAAAAACGTTATAAACAAATTGGCTGCTGACGAAAATACCGAAAACTAAATCGATCAAGAACACGCCACTGGGGGATTATTATTAGTCTAGTGGACCCCTATAATCCCTGAAATTTTTATCTTGTTAGTATACGCACTTTTCGAGAAAATCGGAAAAACGGTATAAACAAATTAGCTGCTGACGAAAATACCGAAAACTAAATCGATCAAGAACACGCCACTGGGTAATTATTATTAGTCTAGCGGACCCCTATAATCCCTGAAATGTTGATCTTGTTAGTACACGTAGTTTTCGAGAAAATTGGAAAAACGTTATAAACAAATTGGCTGCTGATGAAAATACCGAAAACTAAATCGATCAAGAACACGCCACTGGGGGATTATTATTAGTCTAGTGGACCCCTATAATCCCTGAAATGTTGATCTTGTTAGTATACGTAGTTTTCGAGAAAAATCGGAAAAACGTTATAAACAAATTAGCTGCTGACGAAAATACCGAAAACTAAATCGATCAAGAACACGCCACTGTAGTAGTAGTGATATAAATCATGACCTTTTTTTTGTTGTTTCTGTCGATATGATAGTAACGAATTGTTGATAAAGGTAGTAGTACTAGTACTATCATAAATGAATTAGTTTTTTTATTTTTTTTTTAATTTTGGTTACATTAGTATAATGTATACATACTTTATAAAATTACACTAGGCGTGTCAATTTAAAATTATAATAATTAATCCGTATAAAAATATCGGTAATAATATATTAACATAATGAAGCATACTTCGTTTTAGTACTATTTAAATATTAATAAAATCCTCCTGCAAGAAATTGTATGATTATTTCATATTAAGTTAAGTCGCCCGACGCCACTGGCCCTTCGGCTATGTTCGGCAAATCGGCCGCTATCTTTTGGCTGCTAAGTTCACATCAGTGAGAGAGGGCGCCAGGTAGGGTACTCGCCCGGTCTAAATATTTGCCTTCCGCCGGCCCTGCGGTTACCGAGATACCAATACTCGTACCTCGAATTTGTACCACCCTTTCTTCATGGACACTTTCCGATGCGAACACTCCTGATGCGAAAATATTTAGTGATTTGGCGAACAGTCAATCTGCAATAGTTATTAGAATTTATTCTTTTAGTGTCGTTTATTTTTTTTAGTTTAGTTGTACTAATCTTTTACACTAATTTAATACGCACTAACACATTTGTAATGTATTAGTGTGTATCATGAACTCATTTTTATAAGGGGTACTTTCGGGGGTACTTTTAAGAGCTACTTTAGAAACGATCTGGAACCCCGAAAAAATAGCCCTGACAAGATATCGACTGTTCCCATATTGAATATATGACGCGATCTGGAAATGTTCGGTTCAAAATGCTATTGATTATGGGTCTGACAAATTCTATGCATAGATTGCACAAACAGTGGCGGATACAGAGGGGGGCCCATGTAGCCCGGGCCCCCCTAAAATCTCTAAATGTGGTTAAATGTTAGGCTTCTGGGTTAAAAATGCCCTGCAAAGCATATTCTAAATTAGTTTTATTTGCCCCCCCCCCTAAAATAAATTCCTGTGTCCGCTCCTGGGCACAAATACATGTGAACGTCTATAGAATTGTCATTATTTAGTTGTTTTAATACTTATATTTAATTTTAGAAACAAAAAGCCACCAATTAATAGGAAAAGTGAGAAGAAAATCGAATTAATGGAAACTAAAGTTTTTGGACAAAAATGCAGACATATTTCTGAATCAGGAACGACATCATCCGAAGATATTTTTCTAAATACAAAACGATCTCAAATTCCGAGACCAATTAGCTTAAATTTTAAAAGAAGAAAAGATGGAGAAACATCAGAAGAGAACAATTTTCAGCCAGCTTTTGTATTAATCTAGTGTTTCCAGTTATACGTATAGAAGTACACTTTTATGATGAAATATTTGGAATAAAACATATTTTATCATTCTGATTGAGTGTTTTGCTAACCATCTTTACCTTGTTGGGGTTAAAACTGAATAATAATAATGACACTGGTCTGCAAAAACATTTTTTTTCACGAGCTTTGGAGCCATTTGTACCGATTTTTATATAAATTGGCGTTCTGAATCCTAATAATAGCGCCCGTTTTATTCTACCGTTCACAATTTTTGAGGGAGTTCCACTCTCTATTTTTTATCACTTTACGATAATAATAATAATAATTTTGTGGACATATGATAGCTCTAGCAATAGTATTAATCGGTAAAGTATATAAAAGATTAGTAAAGTAATTTGGGGGTAAGAACGGAACCTTTAGTGGCTTAGTGAGCGCAGATATGGAGCGTAGTACAAGTATACCTACCTATAGGCTGATTCTTAAATAATTGCAAATATTTTCAGGGCTGGTAGATCTTGATAAAAGAAACATATAGTAATTTCTCTTTACCCTTTTTTAATATATTTTTTGCTACAATTTTTAGAACCACTGGATACTTTCTGGGTCTTCTTTCTTATAAATTTAATCTAATACATAATGTTGCCATATTATCAAGATATTATGTTTTTCATTCAAATAAAATCTAAAAAATTATATATATATATATATATATATATATATATATATATATATATATATATATATATATATATATATTAGCATATATATATATATATATACATATATTATATATATATATTACATATACATATACATATATATATATTGTTATTATATATTATTATTATTATACAGCATTATAGTATACATATTATTACATATTACATATGCTGCATACATATTGGCTATTATTAGTTAATACATATTATTAGCAACAACAACATATTACATATTATTAAGAGCAGCAACATTTTGCTTGTCGTAAAGGGGGGAACCAAGCTCCACTCCCACAACCGGTTTCTGGGCCTCCGAAAAATCTGAAAAGCACCTGCATCATACCGATTGCTTCGTAATTGGTCACAACCAGAAGCCGTCCTCACCGATACGGCAGCGTAAATTCTCCGGTGAGATAGAAGTGACATGTCTGGTCAAACGATGCCAAATGTTATCGGCCTGCTCAAATGGATATGAAATGAACAAAATTCGTTACAGCTTTCAGTGTATATTAATATTTATTCAGCTGTGTATTTTTTCATTTTCCACTTCGAAAATTGAAAGTAGAAAATTAAAAAAAAAAAAAAAGTAAAAAGACAAGCAAAACAATTTTTCTTTTTTGCTTTTTGTAATTTTTTCTCTACTTTTTTTCGAAATAGAAAAACTGACAGCTAAAACAGAAAATGATCTATTTATTAATATACACCAAAAGCTGTAAGAATTTTTGTTCATTTCATATATTTGAGCGGGGCCGAAAAACGCTCTCACCATCTTTTGACGGGAGATGCACTAATATCTCACCGACACTTTACGACATCAAATGTCTGTTGATAGAGGAAGTTTTGCTTGCTGCACCGGTGAGAACTGAAAGCCCTGACAGCCCAATTGATGAAGGTAGGCCTCAGAAAACCGGTTGTGGGAGGGAGCTTGGTTCCCCTTTTACGACAAGCAAAAACAATTTTCTTTTTATTTCTTTTATTTTTTTTAATTTTTTCTCTTACTTTCGATTTTCGAAAATTAGAAAAAATAACAGCTAAAGGCAAGAAAATATTATTTATTAATATACACTAAAGCTGTTAGAATTTTGTTCATTTCATATATTTGAGCGGGCCGAAAAACGCTCTTTACCATCTTTTGACGGAGATGCACTAATATCTCACCGACACTTTACGACATCGTCTGTTGATATAGAAGAAGTTTTGCTTGCCGTATCGGTGAGAACCAGCTCCTGGACAGCCCACTTGATGAAGGGTAGGCCCAGAAACCGGTTGTGGGCGTGGAGCTTGGTTCTCCCCTTTACGACAAGCAAAACAATTTTCTTTTTATTTTTTATTTTTTTTAAATTTTTTTACTTTCGATTTTTCGAAATTAGAAAAAATACACAGCTAAAGGCAAGAAAATATTATTTATTAATATACACTAAAGCTGTAAGAATTTTGTTCATTTCATATATTTGAGCGGGCCGAAAAACGCTCTTTACCATCTTTTGACGGGAGATGCACTAATATATCACCGACACTTTACGACATCGTCTGTTGATATAGAAGACGTTTTGCTTGCCGTGTCGGTGAGAACCAGCCCCTGGACAGCCCACCTGATGAAGGGTAGGCCCAGAAACCGGTTGTGGGAGTGGAGCTTGGTTCCCCCCTTTACGACAAGCAAGACAATTTTCTTTTTACTTTTAATTTTTTTAAAATTTTTTCTCTACTTTCGATTTTTCGAAATTAGAAAAAATACACAGCTAAAGGCAAGAAAATATTATTTATTAATATACACTAAAGCTGTAAGAATTTTGTTCATTTCATATATATATATATATATATATATATATATATATATATATATATATATATATATATATATATATACTACTATATATATATATATATATATATATATATACATATTAAGAGATATATATATATATATACTATACTATATATAACTGCTCTATATATATATATATATACATGCAACGCCACCAATACGCAGCCCCTACATCACGCGGACACGTCGAAGCCCGGTAGTCTGGGTTAAGCGGCAAGGGGGCGGACGTGCGACGAATTTAATTCGGCTGGAATATTTTCTTGTTTTGACGGCGTATCGGCCGGGCGTCATGTTGCGCGGTAGCGGGAAGCCCGGCGTTGTTGCCGTTATCTTTACTCTTTACTTTGCTACTTAAATTATATAAGTAAATTTATTTAATGTATTTTGATGATTTTTATGACTCATGTGATATCAAAATATCTCATTTTTCAATAGTAGTAAAATTGCAAAATAAAACACTAATTCACCACAATATACCAAAACACTTTATTTTTGTACTAAACGCGTGTTTCGCTAACCATATTAGCATCATCAGAAGATGATTAAAATACATGATGACAAAAATAAAGTGTTTTGTGGTGAATTAGTGTTTTATCTTGCTGTTGTAACACCAACCCTCAACTGTAAAGTAGTAAAATTTTAAATTTATATTTTAAATTTACAATTATAGTAAGCAGTTGAAAAAAAACTTATTTCTAAACATTTCTTATAACTATTGCAGAATGACTCACTGTTTTCATTAAACTTTTTAGCAGGTTTTCTATTTGTGTATTTAATAATTTTATTTTATTTTTTTACAAAAATTGGTTAGCAATAGTAGCCTAAATTAATAAAAAAATGTTAATCTATAGGTGCGTCTCAAAAGTGGCTCAACCCCTATAACTCTTCGTTCAATAAATCAATAAAGAAAGCAACAGTTTGCAAATTGGGACTTTAGGCTTTCATATGTTCCTTTGTGTTCTTTTTTCTCCATTCTGATGAAAGCAATACACCGGAAAATTAAAAAAAAATGGTTAATCCGATAATTCTTCCTTCTTTCTTTAATAACTAAAAAAATATTACTAAGTTAGCTGTATATACAAGCAATATTAGCCCATTATTGTAAGTTAATATGGTTTTTTATATAACAATTATCATTATGTAGATACAATTTATTTCAATGTATAATTGCAGTTTTTAAATAGAATATTTGCATTTTTTAATGCATTATTTAACTTTTTTAACATAAATCTTAATTTAAGAGTATTATTATTTTATTTAATTTAATTGAACCAGAGAATTTTTTGCTCTTCGTCATGTTATCTTAATAAACTGCACTCACACCCCTCGCAGATAACGCGCTGTCAGTCAGAGATATTGATATTTTTATGAACTTGTCCTATACGTAATTTCACACACAGAAACTAGCGTAGAATAGACACAACCAAAATTTTACGTCGACTCGATTGTTTTGATTATCTCATGTAAATCAGCCGCCTATGTCATAAACTTAATTAATTAATGTATCTTGTTTATGGAAACAAGTATAGGATATATTTTTCGAAAGCTCATAACAAGACAAATAAAATTAATTTTTTTTAAATGAAATAGGCGACAATATGTCAGTATCTGTACCTTTTGAAAATTTGTTACATCTTTAAAAATAATCTAAAATGTCTATATTCCATGGATATAGTGATAAATGAGGTTTAAATTATAAGAAAAAATGCATTTTCTACGAAACTTGAAGAGATGGGTAAAAGATGGTATAATACAATTTGATAGACAATTACACTGTGCATCTGATTCACGTAAATATATAGGGTGTTCCATTTAAATTAAATAAGTTATTGCCGTTTAAAACTAGTAATTATCTAATATAAATTTTTGGACACTCTGTATAAGGTAGTAAAATTTTTATTATTGCAACATAATATCTGATCAATAAATAATCTTCAGTAAATATTCAGTATTAAAAACTTTGGTACCATTGGAGAAATGAAGCCTTAATATTTTTACTGCAATTTCATAAAATTGAAAATATTTCAAAAACGGTAAGGTTTAAGCGTGATAAACCTTAATCAAATTTACCTTTATTTTAATCGTAGAATCTAAAAATAGAATAATATACAGAGAGTTCCATTTAAAAAATACAACTATAATATTTTTTACATATTTGGGACAATCTGTATCTTGTAAAAATATTTTTAAATTGTATCTCTAATAGTCCTTCAACGAACCCAAAACTTACAATTTGTAAAAATTTAATCGTTTAGCTACAATACTCCGTGTCGTATGTGGTGAACAACCCTGTATATTTTATATGATGTTTTATATGATTTTAAGTTTATTTTTCAATAAAATATCTAAAGTAAAAGACTGTTTATTTTTAAAGCTGTAACTGCAAGTCCTAAACGTCACAAGTTTATAAACTTATTATTTTTTAAATATACAAATAAGTACTATGTATTAATACAGGGTGAGTTTCCTACGATGTTCT